AACACACATTTTTTATATATATTTTATGTTTTTCACTGGAATAAACACAACCAAAATGAAAACATACTTTAATTTGAGTCTATTTTGTGGCTATACCGGCTTGTCAGAAGCTCAGCAGGGCCGGGCCTGGTTAGTACTTGGATGGACACACTGTGAATTCCAGGAGCCACAGTGGGACGCCAGTGGCAAAACTGTTGTTGTGTCCTTAGGCAAGACACTTCACCCACATTGCCTAGTATGAAATGGAGGTCGGAGGGGCCGATGGTGCAGATTGGCAGGCTCGCTTCCATCAGTCTGTCCCAGGGCAGCTGTGGCTACAGTAGTAGTTTAATAGTTCACCACTGAGTGTGGAGTGACTGAATAATGAACTGTAAAGTGCTTTGGGCAACTTGAAAGGTGCTATATAAATGCAATGATTAATAAAAATAAAATAAAGTAAATAAAATTTTGGGGTTTAAAAGTTACATACTCTGGCTTTATATAAAATATGCAATGAGGTTTGTTTGTTTTTTTTTCATTTGTACTAAAACTGTGTGTCACCGATGAAGAAAATGCAACTGAAAAATATATATGAATACAGAAAACTAAAGATTACGAAGACATACAGAAACGCCAAATACAACTTCAGATGGTAAATGAGAAGGAAACAAACATGGTTAACTGCTCCATTTTGCAGAATAAGTCTGCTTTAATGCCTTACTGTGGAATATTCCAGACAAAACGTGACCCACCAGAAAAGTCACATACTCCAAATTCAAAACTCAATGTATTCATTTGTTACGTCATAGGTGTATTCTTCAGAGATCGAAATGGTGCAATTTTGAGTAACTTCCAAATGTACTTTCACACTTTACTTTTAATTCATGAGATGTTCAATATTCTACAGTAAAAACCTAAATTATTCACGTATTTGCATATTACATCAGCCCTCTTGAGCCCAGGGTGGAGTTGCAGTAGCTGGCGGTGTACAGCGAGGCAGAGCGGCGGACATCTCGCAAGTCCTCTTCATCACCCACGACCCCGATCCTTCATCATCACACCTGCTCTCACCTCACTGAGTGACCGTCTCCTATTTTTACCCGCCAACATGTCAGCGCGCTCGGGGTGGGGTAGTTAGCGTCAGGGTGTGAGGAGTCGTCATAGCAACCGAGTAATGAGACCCGCTGATCTAGTAAGTGAACCGAGTATTTTTTAAAGAGGACATATTAACGAGCGGTAATGTGTGAAACGTAGCTTTCTACCATGTTATAATGTTGTTGCCTCATCAGAAACATGCCTGAAGAGGTTTTAGATATCATCCATGTGTGTTTGAGTAATTCAGTGATCTCTCCCAGGCGCTATTTGAACCCTCCTTGCAATTAGCTGTATGATTCTGTGCAATGCTCTACCTATAAGCCTGTCACCCATGCTCCCACACGACAATTCTACATAAATGTACAAAAACATGATACAAAACAATAGACTACAACTTCACAAACCTGATGCGATGTGTCCAGTGCAGTTTGTGTGCAAAGCAGATACGAGGAAAAGTGGATAGAAGATAAAAGGACTTTGCTCCAAGTAGGGCTGGGTATCATAAAGAAGTTGCCGATACGATATATACCTCGATACACAGGCCACGATACAATACTTAATTCGATACAGTGAACTTACGATTCGATACGATATATTTCGATACCATTCAATAAAAATAAAGGCTAAATCATGGCTGTGATACTAAAAGTCTTTGTTAAACCACTTCTTATGCAAAGTGAATATGAAACAAAAACATTTTAATCCTCAAAACTGTGAAAATGTCAAATGTGTCGCATGCACTGCAAAAAATTGAATCTAACCAAGTTAAGATGACTTGAATTAAGAACGTTTTATCATGATTTGAGTAAATTCCACTTGACAAGTTAAATTATCTGTCAGCGGAATAAGATTTTTTGTTCTTAAAATATGAAAATACAACTTGCTACACTTAAAAAAAGAAAAACAACAACCCTTAAAATAAGAAATTAAATAGAATTTCGCTTGAATTTAGAAAAACACTTACTCCATTGGAAGAGCCGACTCAGATAAAGTCAAATGTTCTTAATTTTCATTTTAACGAACCTTTTTGCAGTGTGAATGAGTTTTCTTCCACTAAACAAACAACAAAACTGTAGCGCTGTAACAAAATAATTTAGTAAAATACACACAAAAAATTCAATACCCGATATATCGATACAGCAGCCCACGATATTGATACTGTATCATTACATTAAATGATACGATATATCGATACTTCAATATTTTTGCACACCCGTAGCTCCAAGGCTCACTGTGAATCTGCACTTCCCTTCAACGAGGACTGTGACTGAGATGTTCTGAAGCTCCGTCTCCTGTTTTCTTCTCAACTATTTTCAAATCTATATTTTCAAATGTTGTTTCCTCATCAAAAACATAGAGCATTTTGAGCTTTGGATATGCAGGCATAATGCAGCATTACTCAAATGTGTGAACGATAACACAGCTC